GTCGTATGCTTCACAAAGGAACTTGGGAAAACAACCCTCTAACGCCATTAATACGCTTGGCACACACGTCCATGTCTTTAAGGAGATCTGGCCTAAAAAATGCACAGATCTCAGCAAACTCTCCAGAAACAGGCTTGGTGGATTTCTCACAACTGCCCACATAAACAATTTCCTTTTTCTTAGCAAACGAACCAGTCTCAGCAGCAAGAGGAATAGGCCTTGGCGCCACTTTAGCAGCAGAGTCCACCTTATCGCTCTTCATAGTAGCAAGCCTCTCCAAAGGTGAACAAGACTTAGCTCCCAATAGACGTCTTGGAACAGACTTTGCCACTGGGGGAGTAATGGAACCTCTACGCTAAGCAATCCTATCAGTAATCGTACTAGCTATCTTCGGCAGGACAAATTTCACAGGCTCAAATCTAGTAGCCTCATAGTTTTTCCCTTGGAATAAGTCAAGTCAATCACAAGCCTTTCGGCAACATGCGGACCCTCATGAGTAGCGGATGAGGTCTTTGGTTTTTTCTCAGCCTGCATCTCTTGAGTAGGCGGGGAGGATCTACCCTTTCCATCTTCATTCATAGCAGACTCCATGACAGCGATTAGACGAGCCAATGCATCCACCTTGATCCCCTTTATCTCCTCTCTCGGGGGCAGCCTATTCTTCACCCGGTGAAGAAGATTAAGCAGCCAATGCCATTCACGGTATTGAGTAGGGATATCTAAAACAACATGCACCTTCATCATATCTAGAAAAGTCTTACAAGTTAAGCCAAATTTCAAATCAACATAAGCAAAGAAGGACAATCAACAAATCCGAGAGCAACTCAGCAAAAGCACAAAGTAGTCTACTTACCGGTGATGAAAATCGTCTTAACATGTAACTCAGGGGAAGAATCAGACTTCTACTCTCTACTTATCTCCAAAGTCACGTTGGTATCTCCCTTACTTGAATGATCGAAGAGCCTATGGTGGGATCGCAGCTGCTCAACTCCATCAATGTGGCCTATGTCAAAGAAGTACCAAAATTCGTTGATAGTTAGATCCATGTTAAAGAGTTGGCTTAGGTTGAGGAATCCCAGCATCACATAGATCGCATTTGGAGAACACTGAGCGGGGGCACACTTCATGGGGCAAAGAACTTCTTGGAAGAAACACGGCATGGTAAAAGTAAATCCTAACGCGGCATGTGAAACTTGATAGCTCTTTGAGCCCTAATACATGGCTCATGGATGCTCCCCTCCTTGACACGCTTCACACACATCCCTAACGGAATGACGTGCATGTATGCTTCAAGGAAATTCTTTGAACAAGTCATCAGAACTAATTTTGAAGTGAGCAACCTTAAAGTAGCCTACTTTACTCAAAGACCTACCTTGACGATACAACGGTGGCACATCATAGTCATGCTTGTGGCTTGAAGAAATTCTACAAAGATACAAGGAAAAATTGTTAGATGGCTGCACAAAAATTATAAATAAAAAGAAAAGTGCAACATGCCCCACGCCCAAAGACAGCAGCCAAGGAAGCCCAACCCGTGCTGGATCCCATTTCTCTTTCTTGGCCCAATCCAATGAGAAGGGGGGCTGGCCCCTTAGCACCTTCCTTTCTCTCATTTCTTACATGGGCCAGCCTAAAAGCAACAAGAAGCGCACCTCTTTTCTCTCACATGCACAGGCCCAAGCCTAATGCCCTAACGATCTAGTCCTGGCCCAAGCCAGCTATGTGCCGAGCATAGCTCGCGCCACCAACCCTTGGCCGAAGCCAAGCCTCTGCCATACCAAGCTGATAAAGCAGCCTTACGGCAACAAAATTTCAAGCCCTGAGGCTCCCAAAAAATTAAGAAGACAAGAAAATTAATTTTTTCTTACCTTGGTGCGGTATGAAGACGAAGAAACAATGAAATATGGTTCTTTGCACAAGCAAGTGAAGAAGATTACTTGGGAAGGGGGAACAAATATCCTTTAGCTTTTTCTCTCTTGTAGGGTAAAATAAATTGCTCTCTAAAGTTGATTTAATCATCTACTTAAGGTAGACTTAAATAACTTTGGAAGTGATTTATTTCCCTTTCTTAAAGGGATCTAATTTCCAATTAAAGTGGGAATCTACATCAAAACAGGAAACAATCTTATGTTTCCTAAGGCAAGAGAAGATCTCTACACCTACTACCCTTTCCTGTGAGTAGTCTAGCATGTGTGGGGGCATTTGTGGAGCAAAAAATAATCAAGATAATTATGGAGGTGACACATGGACCTTTGGGTGAAAATGGCAAAATTACTCTCGAGGCACACTGGGATTCCCATGCGCATGCAATGAATAATAACGGCTCAATCAAGGAAGAGTCAAAGGTGATCAAAATGGTATTTATTCAAATCCCTCTCATCACTCCTCATCAAATCCTTATTCGAAAGGTAACTCCCACAATTTCCTATCTAATTTAGGATTAATTGCCATGTTAATTGCAAGATATTATTTCACATAATATCTTGCAATTATTCACCCAATTACACCATATATGGCCGGCCACTATTGTTTCAATTAAAAGTTAAGCCATTTTTTACCGATAAACTTCTAAACACATTCTTTTCAGAATTCTAACCCTTGGCATCGGAGATTCTTTAGCCAAAGCCAAAGCAACCCCCCCCCCCCCCCCCCCCCCCAAAACAAAAAAATCATCGTGGGCGCATAAGGCTTTTGGCCTTAATCTTAGGTGTTCTTATTTTGTAGGTGCATTTTCGTCAAAGGAGAAGATGGCGGAAATTTGCATCCATAATTAGGGTTAGGGGTAGGCACAGCTTAAATTAGGGATAGGGGAATTTTCTAATTTTGGGGAATGGTATATCATTAGGGTTAATTTTATAATTAGGGCTTAATTGAAATTAGGGGTAGTTTTTAATTAGGGGGAATTTAATTAGAGAATGTAATTAATTTAGAGGAATGGTATATAATTAGGGTAATCTTATAATTAGGGCTTAATTGAAATTAGGGCTAATTTGTAATTAGAAGTAGTTTTTAATTAGGGGTAATTTAATTAGAGAATGTAATTTGGGGGATTAGGGTTAGGGGTAGATACGGATTAGATTAGGGTTAAGGGAATGTTGTATAATTAAATTATAGCTATGTAATTAAAATTAGATTTAGTTTAATTTTCTAAATAATAGTTAGAGCATTTTTATTTCGAAATTAATACTTCTGGTTTTAATTACAATTAGGCAAATTGTGGAAATTATAAATTTCGGTTTTAACTGTTAATCTTACTTATCAAATTAAGGTTAGGAAGGTTTTTAGTGGCCGGATTAGGTTAAGGTTCTAGGAGAATAGGTTACGGTTCTAGTGGATTAATTTCAATTTGTACAAAATAGTTATATAATGTTATTTTGTAATTACACATTTAATTTTAAATTTGTTTACCTATACGATTTAATTAATTTTTAAATTATTAATTTTAGTTTTAATTTTATTTCTGTTTTAATTTTGTAGATGTCTCGCCTTATATTTACCTGGAGGGCTGTGAGCAGTGGGTCCTCCGCACCTCTTCCACCACCTCCTACTGCGAGGAGTGCTCCAGTGACAATGGACCCTCATATGGCTGCGTCAGGAGGACCCGCCATGGCACGGGCATCGGCACAGGCATCATGGACGTCTTCGGTGACACTTTTGCCTAGGGCTCGTCGTACTCACCGGCATGCCTGGACTCCTGACATGACATCCGCATCCGATGCCACCAGCCCAGGTAAAATAAAAAAATCCATTTAATTTAGGTAATTCAAATGTAGTTAGTTGCTACTTTAACAAAAAAAAATGGAGAAGAAAATCTAAACCGAGCTAAATGACTACTTAAATATATTTACAAAACTTGCAGGTAGCCCTTTACCACAGTGGTGGAAAGGTGTTGTGCCCTTGCATGACGGTGTGGGTTCGAACCCCATTGGTGACTAATCTAACATTTAACATTTAACTTACTCCGCTATAGTTTCGCTCAAAAAAAAAATATATATATATATATTTACAAAACTTGATTTTTATCTTTAAAAAGATGCGTTTTAGATTATAACCTTGTGTAACATTTAAATCCAATTTTCGTCCCTTAAAAAATTGTTCACAATGTTGCTTGCCTGTGTGCTTTATTGATTATTACTATTTACAGGTTTTGGGAATTTGTATAAATGTGAGGGAGGTTCTGCCAAAATTTTGGTAAATTTTTAACTTAACGTTTAATGTTTGTTTTGTTGTTTTGCAGCTAAGAAAAACACTCGGCGACCTTGTCGACAGCTGAAGATGGGGCAGGTCACCCGGGTGACAAACGATCATATCATGATAGTATACGACGAGAGGCATCAAACTGCAACTACAGTGGAGTAGCATAGTGCTTGGTCCACAACGTGGGACATGTCGTTAGGACCGAGTGCCCTATGTTGTGGAAATTGTGGCGCGAGATCCCGGCAAAGACGAAGAACCTAGTCCGCTACTGTTTATCGGTAAGTCCTAAACTTTGCTTTATTCAATTATATATCAAGTTCATATTTTTATATTAATTTTTTTTTTCAACTTTAACTTCAATTTTAATTTTGGTTTTTTATTATTTTAATTTAATACTCGGTAAATTGTAGACAAACTACAATTTTGACAACATAAACGAGTGGATGGACAACCACCTGGATAGGTTGTTTAACGAGCGGTACAAGCAGTGGAAGAGCGACCTCCACAAACATTATAAACTTGCCAAGCAGCTGTACATAAGTACTTCGTTTCAAATTCTTATTTTATTCTTCCAAATATTCATTAGTACATAACAACATATTTACCACATCAATTCCATCATGGGCATCAACAACTTGTGGTAGAAACTTTTCAATTACCATGGTCAAGTGTAGCTCGTGGTAGATAACATTAATCTACCACAGTCAGATTCTGACCCGTTGTTAAAAGTGAATAATCTACAACGGTTTTTAATCCCAAGATGGAATATCAAAACCACCATGCGATATGCTCGTAGTGGGTACTTCGAACGACCACACTCCCTTTTGAAAATTCACCATGCCAGCGGCCAGTGGTGGATTTATCTTGTTTTTTTTTTTTTTTTTTTTTTTTTTTGTTTTTATATTTTAGAGGATATTCAAACCTAAAATCCAAATTATTTTCCCCTCGCGTGAAACTAGACGAAAACCCTAAAAAGAAAATGTGAATCCTTTTGTTTCTCCATCTTTTCCATCTCCGGTTGAGGTTTGCTCGTCTCTTTCCAGCCATTTCTCCCTCAATCAGTGGCAACCTCCTCCATCACTCAGGTTTCTTTTATCCTATATCTTTCGATTTTGTTTTCTTGTTCTGAATAAGCATTTAAATTATCATTGATCAATGAAGTTGGAGATGTGTATGCATTCTTGTGGCTTACAGCTTGCAAATTTCTCTTCTGGCATTTTGCTCTCTCTCACATCCATCCAAAGGCACAAACTTTTCTCATCATCATCATAAATATATTAAATTTTGAGTTGAGAAGTATGTTTTTACTGTTTTGTTCTTCCAATTCCATAAAAAGAATGTTTTTGACGCCCCAAAATCAACCCCACGTTACAAGGATTCTGTCATGGAGCAGCACTTGCTGTTGAAATTAGGTTCCCTAATCGTGTGTTTTTACTGTTTTGTTCTTCCAATTCAATAAAAAGTTTGGATGTTGCAGCTACTGCTGTATATACATATATATAACAACATTAAAACTAGTAAAGAGAAGAATGAACTTCTACATATATTATCAATGTAATAATGAATAAATAGAGAATAAATGCATACAATTAATCTGTTCAGACCAAAAACAATGTACAATCTTTAAAGACCAAACTGTATCATCAAAGTTGATCAACCTCTTCTTCCTTAAGTTTTGGTGTAATATTGGAAATTAGCGTTGGATAGTGCAGTAGTGATCAAAGTAAGAAGGGGTGCCCTTAAAGTATACAGCACGAACCAGTTATATATAAGGAACAAAGATATGCAGTAGTAAGACTTCGATCAATTGAAACTGCAATTCCGACTATACTAGTGTAAATGTTGTAAAGAAAATGCTTGTTCACTTTTTTTTTTTTTTTTTTTTTTTTTTGTATATAATATGTTCCTGCTAATTCACAGCAAATGAACTCTTCGCTAATTCACAGAAAATGCTTGTTCACTTTTTTTTATATATAATATTGATTGCTAAGAAGGTGATTTCTACGTGTCTTGTTTGTATGAATCGTATGTATTAGCAAATGGTTTCGTGCATGTATTAATTTCATATTTGTAATTTAAGTGTTGATACAAGTTATACCTGCATATATATATATATATATATAAGGGAAGGGATCCCCATTTTTCAAAAAAAATAGGGACACCCTCTTAACTGTTAAATTTGGCTTTAATGAAATTCTGTGGTTGAGATTCTGTGGCCTGTGATTTAATCTCAACCACAGAATTCCATTAAAGCCAAATCTAACGATCAAGAGGGTGTCTCCATTTTTTTTTTTTTTTTAAATGGGAATCCCTTTCCTTAAGGGGCCTATGTATATATAAAATATGTGTATGTGTGTATATATTTTAGTATATTTTGCCATTAAGCTATGAGTTGTGGTTATTTTAGGACTACTTTTTATTTGGAATTGAGTAGCATTGTTGGAAACGATCATTGTCAACTATCTGATTGCAATGGACAAAGATTGGCTAACATTTTCGAGGTATATTATCTGCCTCAATGAATTTCATTTTTGACATTGATAACCTCTATTTGAAGTGATTAAGATTTATTTATAATATAGACCATCAACAGAATACAGAGAGGGTGCACAAAAGTTTGTACAAGTAGCTAAAGAATATGGAGGAAATTGAGATAAGATCATTTACTCGTCACTAGTACAAAAACATACTTGCGCGATGGAGCAAATTGAGTCACGCAAAGTATGTTTACGCAACGGTAACAACAAATCATCACGCAAAGGCATTTTGCGTAATGGAACTTTGCACGATGACGACTTTCGTCGTGCAAAAAAGCTTCGCGCGACGAAGGACCACCTTAGTCGCACAATGTTGGGAAAAAAACGGTAAAAGTCTTGTTTTGGTGCCAAAATCTTGTGCAACTCACAGGCCGCATCACGCTAACATCATTTGCGTGATGAAGGTGTGCATTCGTCGCGCAAAATAGCTTTGCACGATATAGGTACACCTTCGTCACGCAAAGCTGTTTTTGCACGACAGCAATCTTCGTTGCACAACAAAGGTGCACGTACGTCGTGCAAAGCTATTCTGCGCGACGAATGCACACCTTCGTGGCGCAAAGTCAATGACTTTGTGGTATAACATAAGATTTTGTGGTATCCACTTGTGTAAATATTTTAAATTGACAATCGAATTAGTTCATTGTATTCATAAAGGATAAAGCAGTGTAGCTGTAAAAAATCATCAAAACTACTTTGCACGACGTATAACCTTCATGCATTGCGCAACGTAGTTTTGCGCGACGCATGTTACTTCTTCGTCGTGCAAACCCTGATTTCACTACCTTAGTGCGACGGTTGGTATGCGACGAAGGTTTCGTTGGGCTAATTTTCAGGCAACGTTTTTTGACTTTGCACAACGAAGGACCTGCATCACGCAAACTGTTTTTTTGTACTAGTGCGCGTATAATATGTCAAAACCAATGTTTTCAACTGCATGCGATTGTGTATGAACACTTGGTTATGAATGGAATAGATCCTTCATATACTACTTAGGTGTTCTATGGTGAACAAGAACCTATTCTTGAACAACATGACTATGCCAACGTGACACAAACATATAAGATGTATAGGGATGTCTTGGCTAAAGATGATGGAACTGGAAAAGCAAATTTGCTAATTGGAGATGAGAATTTCAAACAAAAGGTTGAAGAAGTTGAAGCTCCTCTATATGAAGTTTGTACAGAGTACACAAAGTTGTCAGCAACTATAGTTTTATACAAGATTAAGGCTTCCAATGATGCAACATATAAGCTTTTTGACGAGCTCCTCCAAGCCCTAAAAGACATGCTTCTGGAAGGTAATACACTTCTGAATTCAATGAATTTGAGTAAGAAGTTACTTAAGGTATTTAATTTAGGCTTCGAGAACATAGATGCATGTGTAAATGAGTGCTACTTATTTTGGAAAAGACTTTGAACAACTTGAGACATGTCCAAAGTGTGGTTCTGCATGCTGGTAGGTTGGTAAACGTAATAATCACATTTACAAAGAAGTTTCTGCAAAGGTGTTGCTCTACTTTCCTATTATACCAAGATTTAAGTAAATTTTTAAGGATGATGACATGGCCAAAGACTTAACATGGAACCATACCAACAAAAGTCAGGAAGGTAAGATGTGACATCCAATTGATTCGCTAGCATGGGAGTCTATAGACACTAAATATCCTAATTTTTCCTCAAATCCACGAAACTTGAGACTTAATTTAGCTACCGATGGAATTAACCCATTATGCCAGCTAAGCTCTAGATATAGTTGTGGGCTAGTTAAATTAGTTACATACAATCTTCCTCCATGGTTAGCCATGTTGAAGGAGAATTTGATGTTGACATTACTAATTCCTGGGAAGAAACAACCAGGAAACGATATTGATGCTTACTTGCAACCACTCATAGAAGATTTATGTGTGTTGTGGAATGAAGAAGTAGGTGTATTTGATGCAACTACAAATTCTACTTTCAATTTGAGGGTTATTTTGATGTGGACAATCAATTATTATCCCGCTTATGGTAACTTGGCTGGATGTTTTACAATGGGCAGGTTTACTTGTGCGGCATGTGGAAGCATGTATATACCGGCAATAGAAGATTTCTTCCACCTTCCCATAAGTTTCGCGAGAAGGGTAAATGGTTTGATGGGAATTATGATATTGGGCAAAAACCAAGGATATTGACAGGTGAAGAAGTTTTATGTGCTTCTGAAGTAGCTGGAAGGGATTAGGGAAAAAAGTCAACTACACAAAATGGCACAAAAAGGAAGATGAGTGTAATGAAAGGCGTACAGACAACAGGAAGTGATCCTATTAACATATGAAAAAAGAAATCAATTTTCTTTGACTTGCTGTATTGGAAAGTTTGACATTTATACTTAACATTTAACTATAAAGAAAAGTATGATTTTTTTCACAACTAATTTTCTTATTCTTGCTTGTTTTGCAGAAATTATGTTTGAGGCATAATTTGGACATCATGCAGATAGAGAAAATTGTTTGTGAAAGTATCGTTGGCACATTGCTACATATTAAAGGTAAATTAAAGTATGGATTTAATTGTCGTAAAGATTTAAAGGTATTGGGCATTCGGCATGATTTATGCATAACTGAAGAGAAATGAAATAAAGTAATAAAATATTTACAATTTACAACAATTAAGCGAAAATATATAAGAAAAGATGTCTTCTAAGAGTAATGCTAGAGAAACTATATTTGTAGATAAAATTTTATAAACTACATGACTTGGAAGTTGATGATTGGATTATTACTTAAGTGTTGATTAACGGGCTTATTTCTTATTAGTGACGTATTATTTAGTTTGCAAATTTAGTCTACAAATTTAATCTACTTAGCATTGCTCGTCTTCTAAACGTTGTAAAGTTGAACATCCAATTTTGGCTTTTCATCATCCTCATCCCATTTGGTGGTCTGGTAGTAAGTGTCGTACAAGATGAGTTGCACCAAGCCAGAAATTGTTCCTAAACCATTTGGAATCTACAAAATTTGTTCAAACAAAATTGTTAAAATATCAAGAAAAACAATTTCAGAAACGGATCAAAACTCTTATCGTAAATTAAAATGATCGTTTCGATAATTACCAGAATATAGGGGTCAAATTTAAGAAGTGCATAGATGAGCCACATAATTCCATTGCAAAAGTTAGCTGGCGAGAGGGCAAATGGAATGTGCTTAACACTCTGCGTCTTGATAATCAATTTCTGTCGTCCAAGAAAGGCAACACATCAACTTGATTCAAGACATTTAGTACGTAGCATTTGGAGGTGTTTAGTGACCACCTCACTTTAATAGAAGTAAGTCGTCAGTAAATGTTGAAGACAATAGACAAGAGCCCAATTATCATAGATCGGTCTTTCGTGGAGTGGAAGAAGTGTAGGGTAAAGAAAACCACAGTTGCAAAGAATGCACCTTCCACCAGAAGAGCAATGATAAACTCAAAATGTGCAGTTTAGTTATTAGTATTAATACGACTTACGCGGTTTTTCCCAGAAGTATATGTGAAGAAGATGGCAATATAAACGAGTTCAATAAAAAATCAAGTGCCATTGATTGTAATGACAAGAAGGCTATTCAAATGAACAATCGCCATTCCGTAAAACGACCACATTGCACAATTAATATTAAGAAATATCATAGTAATATATTTTGAAATATATTAACGGAATATGGTTTAAGTCAAATCCCACTAAATGTGGGATACGATCTTCTAGTCATTGTTGTAGGGTTAATTAGTTGACCTAGGCTTGTTTATATTGCATTGTATAGTTTGTTAAAGGATACAGACGAAAAGCATTCAATCTCTCACTTGTCATAGCCTTCCAATCTAGCCATTTGAATATTCAACTATTTTAACATGCTACCAGAGCATAAGGTCCTGGTGCCCAACTGCTTACGTTATTGTATTCTCAAGCACCATATAAGACACAGTACTTGAAACACCAACCATTTATCAAATCCAGAAGTCCATCGCATCTCTTACACAACAACAGATGTCATCAGGATCAACCGTTCAAAGTTGACCAAACCATTCCTTCTACAATTCCAAGAATCTCCATTGTGAATTTTGTGATAAAGACGGACCTGTAGTTGACATCTGTAGGACTTGGAAATATCATTGCAAATTATGTGATAAAAGGGGCCACATTGAAAACAGATGCAAATTTAAAAATGGAACAATGGTTCCTATTAATGGGGAAAAGCAAGGCAGCAACCATAGCAACAAATCACACCAGCACAGGTCCCAGCCTCCACCGAACCTATTGCAAGGACTCTTAGCAGAGCAGCTTCAACAATTAGCCCACTTTGTGTCCATAATCAGTCGTGATGCTCAATTTACTGAGACCATTTTTCCTTTCACTCTATGACATCCTCACCTATCATCCCACCTTCCCCCATTTTGACTGACCATGTTGGGACCCCTCCCATTGCCAATAACCCCATCTCCAAGACTTGCTAACACCCACTTTGTCAACCCACTCGTACCCATATCTTCCCCTGACTAGCTTCCATCACCTAATCCTACCCCATCATAACCTTATAGGCCACGGTCCCTTCCACCTAATCTTACCCCCTCACACTTATGTAGCCTAGGCCCTCACCACCAACTCCTCATTCTCTAGACATGCTCCCATCAAACATCACTTCTCCTTCCCCACATGAAACTCCACCACACATTGCCATGCCGAACTACCCTCGTCTACCTGATGCATCTACATCTCCACCATACCTCTCTCATCTACCTGACGCGTCTACCTTAGGCCAATTACCATCCCCACCACTTCCACGCCAGTCTTTCCGTCCTAAGCAACCTCTATTATGGCTAAAGACTATCATGTTACCAACCAGGTCAGTCACTCTCCCTCGGAGCTTCGTCCTTCCTCAGGTACTCGATATCCTCTTTTTCAGTTTCTTTCTTATTCGTGACTTTTTTCTGCCCCTTGTGCTTTTCTAGCTAACATTGCAAGTCCCACCGAACCCACCTCTTATGCTCAGGTTATCCTTGATCCCAAGTGGCGCATTGCCATGAATGCATAATTAACAGCTTTGCAGCAAAACAATACATGGACCATGGTTCCCTTGCCTACAGGTCACAAACCCATTAATTGCAAATAAGTTTATAAAATTAAATACAACTCTGATGGAACAAATGAGTGGTATAAGGCTCATCTTGTTGCTAAAGGATACACTCAAATTGAGGGCATCGATTATCAGGAAACCTTTTCTCCTACTGCCAAACTCACCACTATGCATTGCCTTCTTGCTGTTGCTAGTGCCCGTCACTAGTTCATTCATCAATTGGACGTTTAGAATGCCTTTCTCCATGGTGATTTGCATGAGGTAGTTTTCATGGAACCTTCTCCTGGTCTTCGCCGACAGGGGGAGAACATTGTATGTTGGCTTAACAAATCTCTATATGGACTCAAACAGGCCTCTAGAAACTGGTTTTTCACTTTTTCAGTCACCATTCAAAAAGTTGGTTACCAACAATCAAAAGTTGCTTATTCTCCTTTTACCAAGGCTCAAGGTACTTCATTCAGTGCAGTCCTTATATATGTAGACGACATACTTCTTACAAGAAATAATCTTCAAGAGATGGAACGACTCAAAACATTTCTTCTCACACACTTCCGTATCAAAGATCTTGGTGATTTGAAATATTTTTTGGGCATTGAATTCTCTCAACCTAAGAAAGGCATTTTCATGTCTTAAAGAAAATATATATTAGATATTTTGCAAGATTATGGACTCACAGATGCACGCCCAGATAAGTTTCCAATGGAACAAAATTTGAAACTCACTCCCACTAACGGGGCATTGTTAGATGATCCAACCAAGTACAGAAGACTAGTTAAACGACTAATTTATTTTACTGTCAACAGACTTGACATAGTCTTTTCGGTTCTCACATTGAGTCAATTCATGCATGAGCTTTGCACACCTTATTGGGATGCAACTTTACGAATTCTCAAGCACATCAAAGGTACTCCTGGTCAAGTTTGTTATTCCCTATCTCCGACAATCTTGAGTTAAAGGCCTTTTGTGATTCTGATTGGGGAAGTTGTCGTGCCCCAAGAAGGTCAGTTATAGGGTATTGGAAATTCTCCCATCTCATGGAAATCCAAGAAACAAGACAATGTTTCTCAGTCATCTACAGAGGTCCAGTATCGAGCTTTGGCCAATACATGTTTAGAGTTGACTTAGTTATGCTATTGTTTGGGCCCAAAATGACAACTTGGGCTGAAAGTAACAAAATGGGCTGAGACTCTTGCTCCAACGGTCTTCATGGGGTATCAAGGGCCATCTAGGTTCCAAGAGTTATCTAGTCGGTTTTTCGGTCGAGCCCTTTTGCCAGAATATTAATTCAGATAAAGACGAAGGTTGAATCCTTGTACCACCAAGGCTGTTAAAAGCTGAAAGCACTGAGAATCAGGGAATGAATCTTGTTCATTGTGGAAGTGGGTTCAAAATCCCAATTGAATTAGGACTAGCCAAGTCCTAATTAGATCAGGATAAAGAGTCTGAGTCCGGGTGTGGTTCTAACTCGGCCAGGAGCAAGTTCACTACTATAAATAGAAGAAGGATCACACCATTCAAGGTCTCCAATTCAACACACAAACTGTTCTGCGTAAACCCTTGCTCTACGCGAAACCTCTTAATAACTTGCCGTCAAGGGACAAGTGCTAGCAGACTTCATTGCCGATCATCCAATCCTGGCCGATTGGAAAATCTCAAACGACTTGCCTAACAATGAGGTGTTCTACATCGACATTTCCCCGATATGGACAATGTTCTTCGATGAATCCGCACAAATGGATGGAGCAGGGGCAGGAGCAGTATTTATGTCGCCACAAAGACAAGTACTACCCTATTCCTTCTGACTAATCAAGCTATGCTCCAACAACTTCGCTAAGTACCAAGCGCTAATCATTGGACTCCAAGTGGCGATCAACATGGAAATCACAGCCCTAGAACTACATGACGACTCCAAGCTCATAATCAATCAACTCTTGGCTGATTATGAAGTGAGGAAAGATGATCTCATCCCATACTTCTGACTGGCAACTCAACTGCTACAAAAGTTCGAGGCTGTGACACTAGAATATGTGCCAAGAAAAGAAAATCAAATGGCAAACGTTCTCGCTAACCTAGCCTCGAGTATGACACTAAGAGAAGACGAAGCTGCAGACGTGCCAGTTTGCCAAAGATGGGTGATCCCGCTTATCACTGAAATGCTACTAGATGATGTAAACGTCATCTCAGTACTTCTGATCAACTACTTGGAGCATAAAAGGCTTCTAGATGATCCTAGACACCGCTCTGAAATATGTTGACAAGTACCTTGCTTCCTCTACTACAAAGGAACACTCTACCGGTGCTCTTTTGAATGAGTGCTCCTGAGATGCCTAGGTGAAGAAGAAGCCAATCAAGCCATGGAAGAAGCACACTCAAGTGTGTGAGGGGCGCATCAATCTGGATCAAAGCTACATTTCCAGCTCAAAAGAATGGGTTACTATTGGCCAAGCATAGTGAAGGATTGCCTGGAACATGCCAAAAGGTGCCAAGCCTACCAATTCCATACTAACTTCATACATTAACCACCTAAGCTATTACACCCTACAGTTGCTTCATGGCTATTCGATGCATGGGGATTGGATGTCGTAGGA